CAAACCTCAGGCAATCAAAACCGAGGAAACAAAATCTTAGAGGCTGTGTTCCCGTGGAGGTGGGGGGAGAGGGGAGGGTGGGCGAGGTGTCAGCAATTGGTGGCCCGAAGGATGAAGAGCAGCCTGCCCTCCGTGCCGGGCTCTGAGCAGCCCCACGGGGCACAGAGGCCAGCAGCAGTTGTGTGGCAGCTGCTGTGTGTCCAGCTGAGCCCCCAGGCTCCCGGGGCTCCCATCTGCTCTAACAGCATGAAGGCTGCTTTGGGGTGTGCATGTCCCACACGTGTGTGCCCCGTTTGGCTCGCACCCGCCTGCTTCCCAAAGCCACAGCACGGAGAAGCAGCAGCGGTGGGGAGGCATTTCCTAGCTGACACAATGACTTCTCTTACTTTCTTCAGGCTCTTATCTTCAGCTGCTATTTATCTTTTATAAACCCATGAGTATGAGAACATGCAGATCTGAAGATGGTGCTGGGCCAAGTAATGTGTGCTAAGTTTTTAGTGACTTAAGAAGCTTCTATCTTGTATAAACAGAGGGATCCACATATTTGCCACACGAGGTTTAACCTAACACAGAGTAACACTGGCAGTGTCGGATTTCCCTCTGAAGGCAGTGCTTTGCTGGCTGCTGCTGCTTGGATGACAATTTACTGCATTTAGTTCACCATATGAAAAAGCTACTTGGCCACCTGTGTCCTCTCCACCCGCTGCCCCCTCAGTGGCTCTCACCCCTGGAGTTGAAGGTTCGTTGCATCAATAGTCAGATTTGTTCCGTTCACCCCTGTCCAGCTGTCTTTAGATGATGCGAGTGGTCCCTAAACGGTTTCCAGTTTCTGTCTGTAACACAGCAACGAGCACTTAAACTGTGCCACAAGAATAAAAGAAACCTTATCAGATTAACGAGAGTTTTATCTCAAAGGTGCATTCTTTATATCAGAGCTGCATCGCACCACCTCCTTGCCCACAGTGTGCTGGAAAGTAGAATCAAGTCAAATAAATGCCTTTTTAATTGTATCCTCTAGTATTCTAGCTGTAGGACAGTACTGTATGATACTTCTGTGAATGTAAGATATCCTGTACCTGCTTATGATATGTAGTAGTGACTGTGCTATACTGGAGCTGTTTTTAATAATGTTATTCTAGAGGTTTTTTTCCAGACAATGATTGAAAAAGCTAATAAAAAGCACCAGGTACCACATCAGTAGCAGAATTTGCTGGTTTTTTCTGGGATTTTTTTTCTTTTTTTTTTTTACGTTTTTTGGAAGGAAGAGTTGAAAGTCTAATGTGTATAATTTTGTTCAAATGACTGCAGAAGCTGGAAAGGCTGTTGCTGCTATTGATGCCTAGTGAATTGCTATTGGTTATCTTTTTATATAAATATATATATAATTTGAATTTTTGGAAACTAGCTGTGATGTCAACTTTGGAAAAAAGTATCCCACTTGTAGTGTGAGTTGGCATTGTACAGAAATTAACAGCCATATTGGTCTAGAAATGTTAAACTTAATTTTTTTTCCATTTGTACAGGGGTAACGCACTGTATGAAATATGTACGGTCTTATTTACATGGGTTTGATTACAGAAACTAATAAAGTATTCTCTAAATAAAGCCCCTGGCTGCTCTCATGATTGCTGCAGGAGGTGAGCAGAGCTCCCAGGGAAAGGCACCTGAAGGAAGATGTGTATCCCAGCACTTCCCAACCCTTCTCCAGCCCGGGGCTCGCAGCACGTGGCCAGAAGGAGCAGAAGGACCTGCGGGGGCTTGCTGGGAATTCCGTGTCCAGCTGGTGGAGCTGGGGCTTGTTCCAGGCACGAGCTGGGGTGACGCCGATGAGTGGCAGCACCAGGAAAAGGCACAGGAGCCCTGGCCTGAGCCTGCCATGCCCCCTAGGCTGTGGGCACAGCTGGCCACTGCAGGGAACTTGCTTCCCACAAACAACAGGAGCCTTTGGTGTCTTGGTCTCTCAGAAGCAATTCCTGCCTGGCTCTGCCTCTGAGGACAGGGAGGATGCAGCCAGGAGTGTTGGGGTGGCTCTGCAAGCACCGCCAGGAGCTGGGCAGGATGACCTTTGGTCAGAGGTGTCACCGCCAACCCTGGGCCGGTTGGGAAGCTGCTTAGGGCCACCTCAGGAGCTGAAGTCCTTTCCTGCCCAGGTTGGTTTTGTTCAGGGTAAAACTGCAGTAATATGGAGCAAATCCAAGGTTCTGGGGTCCACAATGCAGCCGTGGGCAGAAGGAACCTCTGAGCAGGTAACACTCAGGGTAAATCACCTTTTTCACAAGGATCTCTGTGAGCTGCAGTAAATGCTTGGAAAGGAGGGTGGACATGGGGGACTGACTGAATGTGGATGGACACTGCTTCCACATAGAAATGTGCTATAAAAGTAACAGTTGTGGTGATGTTTCCCTGCTTTGAGGTTGTATTCAGCCTGTTGCATTTTAAAAGGACACCCCAAAAATGGGAACTCACTCCCCAGAGTGTTCTATTTTTAAAGAAATGCTGCTGAAAGGATTAATGTTATTTCTGTTGCAATAAAGCCATTGGGAAGTCAGAGGAATTTCCCACAGCTGGCTGTGGGAATGTACCAGGCTTTGGACTATTTTGTGCTCAGAGCAGAACAAGGGGAGTGTTTCTGCAGAAGTTTAATTAAAAGTAAATGCTTGGGCATTATGTGCCTCCAAATAACCTGGGTTTGATGTGTGCCTCTCCAAAAACCCAAACCACGCCAGCTGCCTTTGAGGCCAGGTGGAGCTTTCAGTCATTGACCCCGGTTGGTTGAATATTTTTATGACATTGAATCAGATAACTTGCTCCTGGCTATTTACACTGGAGTAGCTCTTGCTTTTTTTTAATTTGAGTGGGATTTGGTGTGTAATTTCTTTTCTAGGACTCTGGTCATCAGAAATAATTGTGCTGAACCTCCCAGAAATTAGGGAACAATTTTGTTTGGGAAATTTGATTTCTTTTTCCTTAATAATGTTGAGGCTGTGAAAAGGTTGTAACTTTTCTGCAGGGCAGGAGCCCAGAGGGATGTTAAATGTGCCTGGGGCCAGATCCAGCAACCCCCCTGGGCTCAGGCTGGCTTCTTGCTGGGATGTGGGCAGGGAGGGCTTGTTTTCCCAAAGCCTGTTAAGTAAAGCAGTGTATTCAGCGCTGTTCAGCTCCAGCCCAGCTTTCTGGAAATCCTGTGTACATTGGCTTGTCCTCCTTTATTTTCTCACTCAATTAAGGGATGACTTCCTGGCCTGAAAAGCCCTGGTGTGGGGAGGGGGGAGCTGTCTGCCCTCGGTGTCTGGGCTCACCGAGGTGCTGCTGCTCCCCGGGGCTCTGCACAAACCCTGCCTTTCATCCCGGGGCTTGGTTCACACCCCCGGGGAGCCGTGGGTGAAGGGGGGCTCCAGCCTCGCCTCCCATCCTGGTTTGGGACAGAAATGCCTTTCTGCCATCCTTGGTGGCAGGTTTGCTGGCTCTGGCTGCTGCCCAGCTCCCTGTGGGACAGTGACAGGGGTGAGGCATTCCTGCCCCACCTGGGCTGAGCCTGACTGCAGATCCTGGGGACATCACTGGCCATGGGGACACTTCACTGACCCCAGCTCAGGTGAGATTCCCAGCCTGGCTCTGGGCCTGCCCAGGAACAGGAATGGATCTTTCAGCCTCCTCCCTCTTCGTGCTGGGCTCCCACCTGCTGCTCACCCTGCAGCTGACCAAATATATCTTACACATATCATCTCACTTTTTACAGCCATCATGTATTTTTCCAAAATAATGCGTGGGGATGATGGATAAACCAAATGCTTCATTGTGATATGCAAGTATACAGTGTTACACTTCAGTGTTAGTGTTAGGAGGACAGCAATGGGGTGAAGCATCTCACTGACAATCCCTGTAGCTGCAGGGGATCATCACAAGTGTCCCACTGTGTTCTCTGTCCTTTTCCACTGCTCCAATACTTGCTGTATTTCTGTCAGAAGCTGCTTTCCAAAATGTGGCATTTTCATGCTCAAAGCTTTACAGCTCCCCTCACCAGCACCTTCAGCCTGTAGGTGCATCTAGGGGCACCAGCCCACCACACTCCTTGGAAAACAGGCTTGGAAAGACGAGGTACAAGGCAGCAGTGGTGCTGGGCAATGTTTATTGGGCCAGGACCCGATGCAGCCCCTGGGGAATGTAGTTCCTGCTGCCCTGAATGCCACAGGGGGAAAGAAGCCTCCTACAAGCTTTCTACAATAAATAGATAAAGCAGCATGCTCTGGACTGGTGTGGGGAGAGCTGCTGGCCTGGAATGGCCTGTAAAGCTGAAGCACATGGCTGGAAAGGCTGGGTACCAAGAGGCCACCCGCAGGATGCTCTGCCAGCACTCCTCACCTCTGCTCTCTTGGCTGGTTTTTTGGTTTGGTTTTTTTTTTCCCCCTCAATAAAACAAGGCTTGTGCAATGTGTGTCTGTATTTTCTGCTGCTTTTGAGCCTACTCGATGACTTTTGGAGGTGGCTGAACTCCAGGATGCCCCTGGGCACTGGGAGTGTGGGATGCCAGTGGAGCTTGTGGGATCTCTGCATGAGAGCTCTGCGGGGCCAGAGTGTGGAAACAACAAACCCTGATCCCACACAGGGGATCGCTGCTCACAACGAGGGAAAAACGTTTATTTTAAGGCAGGATCTTTCTGCTCAGCCCTCACCATGCCTGAGCCCTCCCTGCTCCAGTTTCAGGGTGGCCAGGCTGGGGGCTCAGGGAGGCCACTGGAGCTGCTCAGGGCTGGGTGTGACCTATCCGAAACTCACCGAGGCTGGTGAGAGGCATTTCCCTGGCTCTGCCAGGCTCTGGAGCAGCGCTTCATCTCTCTCTGCTGCACCTGAGCACAGGGGGATGTGGCTGGGCAGCGTGCGGCCCCCAGCAGCACCCCGGGCTGTGCGAGGTGGCGCTCCCGGCCGTGCCGGGGGAAATGGGGAGGGAAGCAGGGTGCCAAGGCACGCACGAGGAGCCCGCGGGCTGAGCCAGCCTCGGCTCACTCCCGGGACAGGCGGATGGGGTAGGTGACCATGTTGAAGCTGTCCCAGGCAAAGAGCTGCCGCTCGGCAGGGTTGTAGTCCAGCATGCTGAGGTAGCGGAAGCGGTTCTCGAAGGGGATGCTCAGGGCCCGGCTGCTGCCGGTGGCAGTGTCGTAGGCAAAGTTGATGGTGGCGTTGGGCGCCGAGTAGCTGCTGACGGTGTAGAGAGTACCGCAGATGAGGAAGGAGTTGGCCACCCCCCGCTTGCGGATGTTGGTCTCCCAGGTCCGACGGATCTCCAGCGTCTCGGGGTCCAGCTTGGAGAGGACGATGGCTCCCCGGGCCTTCTCGGTGCTGTAGATGACCCAGAGCCCCGTCTCATCCACCGCCAGGTCGATGTCGGTGTAGCCCCCCCAGGAGTAGGGGTACTGCCCGTGGTAGCCGGCACCGGGGATCTCCCTCTCGGCCGTGATGGTTTCTCCCCGCAGGTCGTAGCGGGCCACGGAGCGGGAATGGCGGGGCTGGAAGAAGAGCCCGCCGCGGTAGATGACGGCTCCCGTGCTCTCCAGCGGCCGCGGCAGGATGTGCACCTTGGCGGGGTAGCCCCGGGCCAGCTGCTCGGCCTCCTCGTACTGGAAGAGCTGGCGCACCTCGGTGCCCACGGTGTCCACACGCCAGGTGTTGTCCCGCGTGAAGGGCGCCACGGGCTCGGGGTCCTTCATCCACACGCCGTACTTGCCCGCGATGGAGTCGGCGCGGCCGAACACCACGGGCTCTCCCACCCACACCAGCTGGCCGCAGCCTGCTCGGGGACAGGACGGGACACGGAGGGGTCACCGCCAGCCCCTCGGGAGCAGCGGGGCGCGGGGCCGGCCCGGCGTGCCCGTACCTGAGTCCTCCTTGGCCGGGCGGCCGAGCGCCGTCTCGTCCAGCAGCCGCGCCACGGGAACCTCGCTCCTCTCCGACTGCAGCTCCTGGTAGCTGAGGGGCTGCGGCTCCCAGCGCGGCGCTGCAGCGGGGTCAGGACAGCGTGAGCGGGGCGCAGCCAGCCCCCCTCACCGCCTGCCTGCTCCTGCCGCCCTCGGGGGGCTCCTGCCGGGCTGCTGCCCCCCGAAATGCCGGTGCCTTGGGCAGGAGCCCGCTGCCCCCTCCCACTGCAGCAGAGCACATCTGTGACCATTGTCTCTGGGGGAAAACTACTAATACCCCAGATCAGCACGGACTCCTACATCCCCGCTCTGCTGCAGGGCAGGCGATGGGATGAGGAGGGGTGGGGAGGGAGGCATGGGGCAATGGGCTGCGACCTCCCAGCAGGGCTGAGCCCGCCAGGGTCCCCAGCAGTGGGGGACAGCAGTGGGTGCACAGCATGGGGGCCGCACAGGGACTCGGAGCCGGCGCCAGGGACGCACAGGGGTCCCGGCCCCGGCACTTACCCTTGGCGGGGGCACGCAGCGTGTCCCGGCCGGGCCCCTCTCTGCCGGGGGTGCAGCGGGCGGCCCGCAGCCGGGTGATCTCCTGGGCGCTGCTCTCCAGCCGCCTGCCCAGCTCCTCTTTCTCCCGCTCCAGCCGCCCCTTCTCCTCTTCCAGCCGGGACTTGGCCCGCAGCAGCTCGCCGTACGCAGCCTCCAGGCGGGCGGCCGCGGCCACTTGCTGGGGGTCCCGTGCGCCCCCCGGCTCGGCTCCCCGCGGCCCCGAGCCCCCCGCTCCTCGCTCCCGGCTCTCCAGCCGACTCAGGCGGGCGGCGAGGGCGGCCAGCTCGGCGCGCAGCTCGGGCACGCCGCCGGCAGCCTCGGGGCAGGCGGCCTCCACGGGGCTGGCGACCGTGAAGGAGTAGGTGCAGTGCCCGGAGCTGTCATGGCCGCGGCGGAGGAAGGCGGTGTCCGCCCGGCCGCCCAGGGCCACAGAGCCCCAAAGCAGCAGCCAGACCCCCAGCATGGCCCCGGCACCGCCCCTCTGAGCGCGCCGGCCACCGGCACCCGCATTTATAGAGGAAGAGGGTCGGGGCGGCGGGGGGCGGGCGAGCCGGAACCTTCCCCATGCCTGCGGGGGCACCGGCACTGCCCCAGGGCCGCTGGCCGAGGCCGAGCGCCAGGGGTGACGCCGGGGCGGGGGGGCCGGGGGCCGAACCCCTCAGGGGCCGCTCGGGGCCGGGCCCGGGGCCTGAACGGAGCCCGCCGGCCCCGCCCCGCCTCAGAGCGGCCCCGCCCCGCCTCAGAGCGGCCCCGCCCCGCCTCAGAGCGGCCCCGCCCCATCCCGGGGCGGCCCCGCCCACCCCCGTGCGCGTCCCCGCCCCCGGCCCGCCCGCCATCGATAGCTCGGCGCTCGGCGCGGCGGGCGGAGTGCCGTGCGCTCGATGTGACGGGGGCTCTTCGGTACCGGCCATTTCCCGCCGGCCCGGCCCGGCCCGGCGAGCGCGGGAGCGGCGGGTCCCGTCCTGGGCCTGCCGGGCACTCCCTGCTCTCCTCTCCAGGCTTCTCCTCCCGCACGCGGAGCCCCGCGGCACGGACCGGCCATGCCTCCCAAATTCAAGCGGCACCTGAACGATGACGAGGTGACGGGCTCGGTGAAGAGCGAGCGGGTGAGTGCCTCTCCTGCGGGGCTGAGCGTGGGGCGGCCGGGCTCGGTGCCCACGGTAGGGGTGTCTTGGCCGGGTGTCCTGGTGCTGCCGCAGCCTTCAGCCGAGGGGCCCGGCAGCCCGGAGCGCCGTGACAGCGCCGCTCAGTCACTGAGGGGCTGTGCGAGAGCCAGCCCCGCTCCGTGTGTGTCACACCAGCCTCGGTACGGCTCTTCTGGGAGCCTCTTGCGGCTCCTTCAGGCTGCATCATGGCCAGGAGATGCCGGGGTGCTCCAGCCTCCTGCCCTTCCGCAGAGCCTGGCAGGGACACGGCCTGGCTCTGCTGCCCACGTTGGTTGAAGGACTTGAGTGAAGTCACCCTGTGCTTTATAGCTGTTTTTTTGTTTTTTTTTTTCTCCTGTCACCACGGTCCCCTCACATTTGAATAGAGGTCCCAACAATTGCCTGGTTTGGACAAAATGGATTTAACCTGCTGGGGTCAGGCTGTATTAAAGCTCACGTTAGGCTGTAGCAGAAATGCTGCTGCAGCTCCCGACAGCTGTCAGCGACACCAGGAACCCGTGCTGCCAAGAGCAGATTGCTCCTCCTTTGAGGGAAGCAGTGGCTGGAACTGTTGCATGGTGTTGCAGGATTGATTGAGCAAATGTGACAGAATGGAAATGTTGGTGAGCTTCAACATCAGAGCATCAGGCTTGCAAATGGGAGCCCAGGCAAGTGTTGGTACCCCAAAGACCATCTGCTGGGTCCTTGGCCCCACACCTTTAGCGTGTCACCTCCCTCTCTTGATTGTTTTTGACCCTAAGCAGAAATGTTTTTGTCTGAAACATTCAGGCTTCAGTGGGATTGTGGGGTTGCTCTTAAAAATCAGGTTTTGGATCCTCTCATGGAGTGTAGTGGATCAGCAAAGGGAAGCCCAAGGGAGCCTGTTGGGGTGAAGCAGAGGAGCTGCCAGACCACTCTGCCCTCCAGCCCAAGGAAGCGAATGTGACCCTTGTGGTCATCCCTCTTACACTTGCTGCCATCAGATGGCAGAGAAACCACGTCTTCCAAACCCAGAGTGGATGTGATTTCCTGTGGATGGGACAGCCCAGGGTGGCTGTGGGTGATGCTGATGGTTTTGGGTGCAGGGCTGGGGATTGTCCCTTGAGCAGAGAGGGTTCCTCTGTAGTCAGAGGATGCTGATTGCATTCTAAGAGCAGGAAATGTGTGTGTGAGATGGTGGTTGCTTATTGATGAGATGGTTTTTCTGTGTTTGCAGAGGAACCTGTTGGAGGAAGACTCTGATGAAGAGGAAGACTTTTTCTTGTGAGTTGGAATGCAGTGTCATACCTGCCTGCAGCTCTGAGACTGGGGGCATGGGAATGAAAACCTTTGATTGCTTTGGGATGTTCTTCCAGAGCATTGGCCTTGAGCATGAATTAATAGGTATGACCTTTTGTAAGAGTGAGATGTCCCACGGATCCTAAGATGTGGGAGGGACGTGTGGGAAGTATGAAAACAATCCTCTGCGCACAAGGCGTTGGTTCTCTCCTCTCTATCTTCTGGGTCTGTTTAAAAACATGTTTTCATTGTGCCTCCTGTCCTGATTACTCTTTTCTGCCTGCAGGAGGGGGCCTTCTGGACCCAGGTTTGGACCCAGGAATGACAAGATCAGGCAGTAAGTTGTTGTTCCTTAGTGTCACAGAGAGAATAATTTATTCTGGCACTGTGAGCTCCGGCTGCTGTCTTGTCAGAGTATTTCTGACAAGCTCATCATATGAACATTCCTTATGCCTGGGTTTTTCTAACTGACATGTGCTACCCCACATGTCCACTGCTAAAGGAAATCTCAGCTTTGATGCAACCTGTCAAGAAATTGTGTGTTGATAGAGGCAAAGAGATGAGATTCCATCACAGGAGCTTATTGTAGTTTCTGAAGCCCTTTCAGTGTTCTGGTGGTGACCTGTTCCGTGCTTTTGTGAGGCTCTTTCTCTACAGCATTAACCCTGAATTTTAACCTTTCCTAGCACCATTTTTTAATTTTTGAGGCTTTTTTAACTCATCCTGTAACATGCTCCTTAACATTTCAAGAAGGTGGTCAGGAACATAGCAGGACCATGGATTTTGGGCAGCAGCTGCTCCTCTGGCATCCTCTTCTCCAGATAAAAACCTGATATAGGTTACCTGGAGATGAGCAGTGACTCACTGGGGTCAAAGCAGCTGGAAAACAGGAAACCATTACAGCTGGAGGAGGAGTGGGGCAAGAAGGAAGGAGTGAACACTCTGGATCCTTCTCCCATTGAGTCATTTCCTGTTTGATGCTTGTTCAGGGCTCCAGTTTTTCCTGTGAAGGTTGTGGTGGTGGCACTCAATCAGAAGTGTGGGGATACTCACAGCCCCCTGGTCTGTGTTGCCGTGTTCCTTTGCTGATTTCTGTGGAGCCAGGACAGAGATCTGTGTGGGGAATGCTGCCTGGGCATTGTTCAGATTGGGTCATGTTTGCAGCCTGAGTGTGGCTCTTGGTTGGGGATTTTTTCTATGGCAGGAGGAAGCTAGCACAGCTCTGGGATGACTCATTGCCATCAGCATTAGGCTGTGCTTGTTATCTTGAGGAGTGAAGGGCACTTGAGCTGCACAAGAGGCAGAGGGCAGGTGGCTGTACCCTGAGTTTTCAGGGCATCTCTGTTCCCTCCAGAGTGTGAGGATGCTGTTGGTAGAGAGGAACTGCTCTTTGGAGTGAGCCAGTGTGGATAGAGCCTCCCTTCTAGGGCGTGACCTGGAATGAATGAGAAAGCTGAGAACTGGGTTTATGAGCGGGGTCTCACCTCCACAGAGAGGTGGAGATGGGGTAATGTCTATCCCTTCATCCTCCTCTGCTGGACAGCACCTACAGTGGCTGCTGTGTTCCCTTTTGGTGGGAGAAAACAGGAGCTCTTCTCTTCCTCTTCTCTTCCTCTTCTCTTCCTCTTCTCTTCCTCTTCTCTTCCTCTTCTCTTCC